ACTCCCTTTTGCCTGCTACCATTCATCTCTATAATTCGACTTGGCAGAGCTCGATAACCGCCTCTGCATCAAGAAAACTGCTGTATACACATACATGAGTGCATACTGTGTGTGATATGTTCAATATCATAAGTGATATAAAATTTAAGATATTAAAAAAAGACGATATAATATATCCCACTGATTGATATGAGCAGTTGTAAACTTACAAACTTTCCACTAGTATTCTTTATGCAGCTTCAAGGTGATCCAAACACCAAATGATGCCCACTCCAATCCCGTCGATCAACTCAAAACTATTCAATGAAATCACAAAAAACATCTCTGAAATCACTGCAAGACTGTCGGAAAAACCCTTTACCTCAGATGCTGCTCGCTCACTTCAATCTATACTATGTCAACCAAAAGATGTAACAACAAAAGAAGAACAAAGTCGAGGCTCTCTTCGTCTTCGTATGGATGAACATAAACTCGCTGTCAAAAGACGTGATATTTATTCCGTCATATGAATACCCACTGACAACTGCGGACACTAATTCTACGGGAAAAATGTACACATCTCAGATAGAGGAAACACCAAAAATACTGCCACAAAATCCCGAGAAACCTGTTCTTCAAACAAATCTGCATCAGCAGACATCTAATTAATATAGATCAAATATAACAACTAAAAAAAGGAATAAGTCACATGACAAAAAAGAGAATTAAAATTCCAGATCAATAAATATGATCAATGCTTATAGAAGCTGTAACAGCCAATCGCAATCAAGGTCATCAAGAGATACAATTGTATCACTCATGGGGAATCCAAATAAGTTCACTTCACACTGGAATAAAGACTATGCGCCGAAGTAATATGGTCTAGATGGAGGACAATGAAAGCTTCATAATTATAAACCATCCATTTCAGAGTAGGCGATCACATCGAAAACGTCATCCACCTCAACTTCAAATCTTTTCCATCAATTCTAGGCGAATAAGTGTTAGCGGAGTAGATCAGATTTTCACTAACTGTGAATACACTCCATTAGCCTGCCAAGTGCCAGCTTATACGTATTCGTTCCAGTTTCTACTCTACATAATTCTCTGTCATATTCTAGTCATCCGTGTAAAATGCTTCAGTTTTTTCAGATTGAAAATGTTCATGCTGTTAATCACGTCTAAAATTAACTGTACCTTTGTGAAAGAAAGTCAGCCCATATTTCTCGAATTAGTCTATTTTTAAGTCAACATTTTAATTTGAGAGATTGTTTGTTAGATAACCTCTTCAACTGTTGTGTATATGTGTCTATATTATTCAAATATTTGTGTCTGTAAAACGCTTATTCTTTTGACGGGGATATCCAGCCTATTACAAATTTCCTCAGATGAATTGTTGACTGTGTGTATCAGCATTTAAAGCGTTTCCTCCAGATTTTAGATGTTTGGAGATAGTTAGCAGGAAAACCTGCTTCACTCAGATTTCGTTTTGTTGGCACACGTCTGCAAGGTGTATCTGAAACCTTGAAACACTTCATTTCCCGTCTAGTATTTGAACTGCCATCAACCAGTGCTGCTGTCAGAGACTTTATCACTGAGCTATTTGGGCTTATGATTGACTTTCTGTAGGATTGTAATGGATATATTGACTGCTCATTAGGGTCTGTAATCAGTGTCATGCATATTGGTATTAGTGATGATGACTGAATCTCGGCAAAGATATCACTTCCTTCAAGGTTGAAGATACGCTTCGCTGACGAGTGCCAACAAGCACGAAACCTAAGTCAAGCAGGGCTTCTTGTTGATAACCTACAACCATCTAACATAAATACTTTTTAAACTGTGATAGGAATCGTAATTCCAAGTTGTGCTGCAACTACAGGCAACAATGGACAATACTCCAGCTGGCGACATGAAAATACTAATGGGAGACATGAACGCCAAACTGGGACCAGACAACACAGGAAGGGAACTCATCATGGGTAGAGAAGCTCTAGGAGAAATGAATGAAAACGGAGAACTCTTCGCCGACTTCTGCGCCTTCAACGAACTGGTGATTGGTGGCAGTGTATACAAGCACAAAGATATCCACAAGGCTACATGGGTGTCACCAGACGGGCAAACCAAAAACCAAATCGACTTCATCTCAATCTCAAGGAAGTGGAGGCGCAGCCTACTGGACACAAAAGCAAGAAGAGGAGCAGACGTTGGCTCAGACCACTATCTCGTACAAGGGACAATCCAAATCAAATTAAAAGCTTTCAGGGAATCAGGAGCTGCAGATAGACCACAAGCCAAGTTCAACACTCAAAAGCTGAAGGACCAGGCTACAAAGGACATCTTCATTGCAAGCATAAAGGACAAAGCCGAGACACAAATCAACACCAGCGAAAAGGTCAGTGTCGAAAAGCACTGGAACAACTTGAAAACGGTGTGGAGCCAAACCTGCATAGAAATTCTAGGCAGAAAAAAGAGACAGGACAAACAGTGGCTCACTACGGACACTTGGAAACTAATAGAAGAGAGAAGGACAGTGAAACAAAAGATTATCCAGTGCACTGACGAGCAACAAAAACAGGAGCTGAATGCAAGCTACAATACACTGAACAAAAGAGTGAAGAAGAGTGCCAGGGAAGACAAAAGAAAATATTATGAAACCATGGCAAACGAAGCAGAACAAGCTGCAGGCAAAGGAGACCTCGCCACACTCTACCAAACAACTAGGCACCTTTCGGGCAAACGTTCGACACAGATTAAGCCAATAAAGGACGACAATGGAAAGTCAATCACCAAAGAGGTGGAACAGAGAAAGCACTGGGTTGAACACTTCAAAAGACTTCTAAATCGTCCGCCACCTACAACACGCCCAGCAATACCAACAACGGAAGCAGAACTACCAGTGAACACCGAACCCCCGACGAAATCAGAAGTCCTGAATGCAATCAAGATGCTAAAAGCTGGGAAAACACCGGGACCAGATGGAATCCCAGCAGAAGCTTTGAAAATAGACCCAGAGACAACAGCGGACTTGATGACACCACTTCTGGAGAAGGTGTGGAAAGAGGGCAAAGTACCCGAGGATTGGAAGAACGGATACTTATTCAAACTTCCAAAGAAAGGAGACTTAAGTCAATGTAAAAACTGGCGTGGAATTATGCTTCTGTCCATTCCAAGCAAGATACTAAGTCGCATCATCCTGGAGAGAATCAAACAAGCCCTAGATGAAAAACTTCGTCCGGAACAGGCTGGATTCAGGAGAAACAAATCATGTATTGATCAAATCGCCACTCTACGGATCATCATTGAACAAAGCTTGGAATGGCAGTCACCTCTCTATCTCAACTTCATCGACTTTGAAAAGGCCTTCGACAGCGTCGATCGAGAGGTCATTTGGAAACTACTTCGCTACTACGGGGTCCCATCGACAATTATACATCTCATCCAACAGTTATACGACAATGCTGCATGCCAAGTAATCCACAACGGGAAACTTACGGAAGCCTTCGAAGTGAGGACGGGAGTGAGGCAAGGCTGTCTACTATCACCAATGATCTTCCTGATTGCAATTGATTGGATAATGCGACAGACAACGGCAACCAACGAGGGAACAGGCATAAAATGGACTGACACAAAAGACTTTTTTCTGTCGAAAGTATGAATATGTACTCGTTCCGAGCGTCATTGTGAACACCATCACTCACACTGAGAATTGCAGGTACATTCAGAGAACAAATTTCAAATGGTTTGAAATGCACCTCCCTAGATCCTATTGCTAGTCACCATCCACCAAATGGCAAAATATGAACTCAGTGATTTTCAGTCGACTAGGGTTGAAATGCTACTATGTTCAGCTTCATGCTATAATCAATTCCCACCTTCCTTCAATGATTTTCAATGTGAAATATAGAAGATCTAATATCACGTACACTCTCGTTTATTTGTCTTCAAATAAATCATTGTAATAGAGTTGATGTTAGTACATCATTATAAACAATTGGCTTTGTTTCTTTCACTGTGACCTTGTAATTGAATCTAATTTTACGCGGTGAACATTCGATGAATAGAGACATTAAAAGTGTTTCTAATTACATTGATGGAATTTAGCACAGAGAGAAGTGTGTCAGTTCTACTTGTCACATTCTGAGGAAAACACAAGTGGGCCTGGGACAGAGTGTGCGTCACATCAAGAGAAGGTTCACAATGGAGTGAATCAGTTAATTACTTTCTGTAGTCTTTTACCAATGCGTGGAATACTCAAATTTCAATCCTATCTGAGACTTAGAGTTATACACCACGAACTGATTGACATCAGTTAGAGAACCACTGAAAACCACCATACAGTGCTGGATAGATGTTGCGTCCCTGTCTGCGACTCTTCATCAGTATGCACCCATCACTCCACACTGAAGATTGAACCCATGATCTTCAGGTTATAAGGCGAACTCCTTGATCATTCAGCCACTGAAACTCCCTGGTTTTCCAGTAGTTCTGTAACTGATGACAACCCATAACCAAACCTGTAACCGATGAGATTCCCGCAAACCAACATTTGAAAATTAATCTGATGCTCACTAGCTACCGGCTCTATGCAGAAAGTTACATGGAGTCATAGTGAGAAACCATGACCAGTGGGGTCCACCGAGTCAAGTAAGTGAACAGTTAACTGCCCATGATATTGGCTGGTGGTTGCGCTATGTTTCGCGGATTGCAGAAGTTGGAATTCATGCCCCATTGGATTAGGGTCCCAGTGGTTGGTTGGTCTACAAGCTTGCCTAGTATCTGGAAGGTCCTGCTTCGAACCCCATTTGGTGTGTGCTGTTGAAGAGTCCCAGACTAAAGAGAAGCAGTTTTCCAGTACTCCCACGTTTTCCAGTGGTTTCCTAACTGATGTCAGCTTATGATTAAGCAAATCTCTGCATAGCAAGACTTGAACGGATTCTCATTATTGTAGATCATTTCAAGATAAATGGCATGTATATAGTTTTATTATTTTACATGTTTTTTCTGTCCTCCCTCTTTAGGTGCTGCAGCCGCGGCCGCTGCTGTTTTCGCTCAAACTACCGGAGGTATACTGTCGTCTTCGACACCATCACGTGACCACAAAGGTATGAACAACAACTACCTACTGTATGACCATCATTCATCAGATATCCTAATGATGAGTAATGTTGTTACACCGTTGGCGCCTAATGAATACGATAGTATGAATTATGGTGGTACTGCTAGTAGTGGTAGTTTGCATACATGTTGTTCAGCTTTGTGTCTGTCATCCTCCTCTTCATCATCTACTTCATCAAAATGTCAAGCGAACATCGGCACCAGTGCATCAACGGCAACTGGCATTTGTTGTTGCTGCTCTCCATCCTCGAATGCTGCCATTTCCCCCTGTTGTTGTTGTTGTTACTGTAATAATAGTAATTGTTGTGGTTGTAGTGGAAGTGTCAGTGGTTGCGGAAGTATCAGTGGGTGTAGTGGTAGTACAAGTGGTTTTGTATCGAATTCTTCCAGCCTTTCGATTGCTAGTCCTACGAATAATAATAATAATAATTGTTCAAGTGCTAAACGTAAGTTATTAGGCTTTTCCTGTTTATTTATTTATTCATAATATTTTGTTTGAAAATGTATCTTTTTTCTCTTCAAAATAAACTCATTTTCTCCTTGTTTTTTTAAAGTGTTAGACATTTCTAACCATAATAAAGATATGTGATGTAGGCGCTCCATTATCAATCCATTGGTCATAGATTCGAACGCCGCCTTACCTACCGTGGTTTGGACAGCTAGGTAGCATTATTAACCCTCACACAATAGGTGTGGCTCATCTCTAACTGAATGGAAACTCAGTTGGTTGTTGAGTTGAGTGAATTTAATTAAAATAACAAACTAATCGTAGCAGTGTCGAGTGTTAAGCAGTTTGAAGTCACTATTTGAAGTTTCTGACAGGTTATGAAAGCAGTGCTTTGTGATGTCGCTTACACTTGGAGCGCATACAACTCAGTCCAACTATCACTCTTACAAATTCTTTTTTCATTGGTAACCGTTTACCGTCGCTGCTGTAACAGTCACACTATTTTATCTTCCTTGTGGAAGCCGTAGCTCATTGGTTTAAGTACTCGCTTCTGATCTCCATGAGTCACAGGTTATCGTCCCTCTCCAGCAACTCCAACTTGACAATTCAGTAGTCTCAGTCGTATCAGCAGACCTCGCACAATAAATGAGTAGCTCTTCGCCTGGTACATGAAAAATCTGTTCCAGACACTATTTCCTCAATTACGTCTCTTGACGCCCTAATCTCAACGTATCAACCCATCGAAGCAACAATGAAAGAAAGAGTAGAAAAATGACAAAATATTAAAATATATGAACAAAAGATAGCTACAATGATAATAGAGAGAGAGTGATGAATACATTATCGTAACATATATCAAGCGACATTGGATACATCCCAAGTTTTGTAACTCGTAATATCTATTAGATGCCAGCGTCCTAAGCGATACACATTTTTCACTGCAGGACTATAAACGTCGTGGATTTCTGTATAAATGAAAACCATACAGAAAGTTTATGACCTCAGAGATTATTAATATGGCCTGGTCTGGTTATAACAGTCCACTGTTCTTTGAGAATAATTATGTCCTGGCTTTGCTCCAAAGTAGATTATTTGTGGCGTGCACACACATGCCAAGATAATTGCATTTCGTTTTGATTCTAAACACTATCAGTTGATTGGTATCCCTCAACTCTAATAGCACTTAACTTTTTGGATCTCAACATTTCTAACTCTATAATCTCCTGTAACCCTGTGATTGGATATGTATCAGCCAACTTTATTAGCTGTGTAGAATGTCAATAGATGGAGTTGCGCACAATAAGTTTGTTAAATATACCAGCTGTGTGTGTGTGTGTGTGGACGCGTCGTATCACTGATTCGTATTTAGGTAACCACTCCACCTCATTTTTCTCATCTTCGACTGCCTTATATCTTCAAGAAAGTGTGGTAGGGTTTACTTGTTTAGCGTTGCACGTATCCTCTGATATAGACAAGTGTGTGTATGTGTGTGTGGTTGGCGAGCATTCTACTACTGAATTATCTACTTAACATTATCAGGATCGGTCGCATGCATATAGCATACAGCCCTCTTCATATCTTGCAGAACCTTGCAACACCACCATTACCGATATTTCAGAGCGCAAGCTTGAAACACTATTCTTGTCTGTCGGTAGTTTAAGGGTAGAATAGTCACTAATCATGCACTTGGTTCGGGTACGACTCACGAAGAGGCGAAGAGGTTAGGTAGTTTAGGCGTAATGCTAGAATCCTCACTTTGTATAAATAAAACGCTGCCAGTTGATGAATCCTCAAAGCTTGTTCCACTCGGATGGCAAAGGAATGAGACAAAAATATATCAGACTAGTTGTCCTGAAGTGCCCTCTTCAAATCAAAACTTTTAAACTCTGATGAATGAGTATTTCACCTTATTTTCGTATCCCAATCGTCTTATCACTTAATTATTTCAGGAATTTATTATTACTTTCATTAATTACAGTGACCATTTAAGCGTGGAAATAGAAATCTGACTTATTCCTTTCTTATGAATACTTATCTAGGATTGTTTCTCCTCAAATAATGCTTATATTTTCTATGATCCTCTGTCTTTGTGTGCGTGTGTGCATTCATTCCGTAAGAAAGACAAAAAATGTTTTTCTCTGATAATAACCACTCGTTTAACTATTCCCTCTCCATGGGCAGACAATAAGTTCACGCCCATTTCATTCTATTTGAGTTTGCTTGCCTCCTTGCTTACTTGTCTTCATAGTTATTTGTTTATTTGTTGGCTTGTTGGCTTCATATCCCTTCTTTATCCGTTGTGTGTAATAAATCATGATGTCTGTGTGCGTATGTGTTTGCGTATGCATATGCGTGTTGGCAATCTGGTTTTTCTTCCTGGAATATGTTCGGTGTAATGCAGTTTTGTAAAGTTTCTACAAAATTTCTAAAAATTATTTTCTCTTTCTCACTCTCGATCAGCATCACTAATTGCCTGTCTTTCGCTTACTATTCATTCATGCTTTCATTTGTAAGTGTTCATGCGTACTACTTCTCATTTCTTCCCACCTCTTTCTCTCTCCCCCCCTCTCTCTCTCCCTCCACCTACCTACCTACCTACTTATTTACCTTTTTTTCTTTTCGTTTTTTCTTCACTTAAAATTCTATTATTATTATTATTATTTTAATAGAAGCAGTTGATTATACTTATTTATATAAAATGTTTCATTTAACTGGTACTAACTCGAGACAAAGCTATTATTATTACTGTTACTTTTATTAGTAATAATTGTAGTGATAATTCGATGACCACTTTCTTTCTATGAATTGAACAGATCATCATAGAATGAAGAGTAGTCAACTCTTTTTCCTCAACTTCATCATCCATTTTGAAAAAGCCTTCGACACCAAGCAGTGTCATACTCCATGAAGTAATTTAACAAGTCCTTGAACACTAAGGAATGCGCTGAACCTACATAAACTTCATTCAGTGGCTATATAATAGCAATCTAATATTGAGAACGCACTCAGATGTTACTTACTAGTCACAAGTCATGACTTACCCAGCTGCACAACATGAAGAGTGAAGTTCAGGAGTTGGACTCAATGTGAATAACTTAATTGACACTAAGTTGTAACGTTGTTTTCGTGAAACTATGATTGTAGGATTCGATTAGGACTTGAAATGCTTCTTCAAGTGGTGAATATATATATGTATATATGTCAATATTGAGTAGGATTTTGACCTCCACTACTGCAGAAAGAAAACTGCAGACTGATATTAAGCAATCAAAATACACAATTAGAGATGACTAACACTACTCACTGATACTTACTGGTATAAAGATTTGAGTTAGATTATTGTGAGCACAGTGTCGCTGGATTTTTTTGTAAGTGTGGGCGACACTGTTGTCCACTGTGGAGATTATATCAATGTATTAAAACGTCATTGAATTCTTCCCATTTGTAAATTTGAACAAAGCAAGAACAATAAATGTGTAGCATGATAATATAACCTCATTACCATCCATTATTTTGCGGATTCTTCTCAGTTGATTACATAAGCTGAGCAGTACGGAAAATTTACATATTACCTAAAAGAATCGAACATACTTCCTACACGGTGACATGGAGTAATTGGAAGAAACTATAGATAACATAAATCTGCTAAATTATTAAGAGATAAAACGAGTTGACTGTTTGTACAGCAGTTACACAAATATTCCTGAAAAGTAAAAGACAGAGTTCAGAAATTTTAGAGTACAAACAGAGTTTAATTAGAAAGAGTATAGCAATGTAATAAATTACGTAACAACAGAAAATATATTTTATAAAATAACAAAATATTGATTGAGGTGAATGATGTTCAGATAAAACAATAAAATTTTCTAAAACTTTCTTCTTGTGCACCATGTTAGAAAAGCATATTTCCTGTAGTTGTGTAACGTACTGTGTTGCTTATACTCTCTCTAGTTAAACTTTGTTTCTATCCAAAAGCTTTTGGACTCTGTCCTTTGTTTTCCAGAATATTTGTCCTATCTTATGCTATAAATAGACAATCTTTTTAGTTCCTAATAATTTAACAACTTACATCACTCTGGAACTATGTTACTCACAGTTTCCCTATAAATTACTCCTTGTAATCGCGTAAGATGTAAGGTTAGTCGCGAGCCCGAATAGCTCAGTGGTAATGTCTCTGACTGCAGTACTGGGTGACGCGGATTCGAATCTCAGAAGGGACATGAGCTCCTTCAGGGTTGCAGATACGCCTTGCTGATGTGTGCCAACTAGTAGGAAATCTAGGTCCAAGACTTCCTGCCAATTGCCTCCAGCTATCTAATATGTTCAAATCTCTCATGTAACATATATATATATATATATATATATATGTATGTTTATTTGATAATTGTTCAATGTTATTTCTCTATTCATTTTCTTCACTATTTCTATTTTTCCTTTGTTTTGTTTATCGTTCGGACTTATGTCATGTTTTCGCACATCGGTATATTTGCACACTTTCACCATACTGTACATATGAATATAAATTTTTAGATAATACATATAACAATAGTAAAAAACAAAATAATTCTTTAAATATTTCATCTGATACATCAGGAAATGGTAGTGTTCAACAGTCTCATCAATATCAATGTCGACGAGTCACTGAATTTCGACATCCTCAGCCACCACAAACTAGTCAAATGAATGTTACAACGGGTTGTACTAGCAATGGTAATAGTAATAATAATCGTGAGAAGAATACATCCTCATCTATGAATGGTAATACTGAGAACTGTAATAATCCAAGTACCACTTGTATGGTAAATAGCATTAACAATACTGCAGTGTCTTCTACTCCATCACAACAGTCTATTTCAACTGTAAATATAGATTGTAATGAAATGAGTCTATCAGATGTATCAGTAACAAATACAAGGGCAATAACCACTGCGACATCAACAACGACAACAACACCAACTATTCCTACACGACGTTACAATCGTAGAGTTGTTCTACCTCCTGTAAGAATGACACATAATCCTGAAGTGGATTCATTATTACGTGAAATAATGGAACGGTAATTTTGACAAATTTTTCCTTCTCTTGATAATATTTCAAGTTTGAAATTTTTAATGTGACGTATTTTAATCCAAACGTTGTTTCAAATTTTTGAACTACAATGATTTAAGCATTTCGTCAATCACGCAGGCAATCCAGGCATGAGGAATGATCTGCATATAATCATAGTCTAAAGATACTGAATGAAATTGTTTAGCGTGTCGATCACTTCACCTATTTGAAAAGTCGCATCAACCCTAATAGACTTATTGCTGGCGAAGTCTCAGCATCCATACAAAAAGCTCGTGTGGCGCTACTACATCATCTCTGGCGTTGATGTGTTATCCAGCTGTTGATGAAAAGAGGTGTGTACTGTGCAAAATCTCTCTATGTCACCCATTATAGCTGTGTAGGATGACCATTAAAAGTTAGGAATCTGATGAAAAGGCTAGTTGTTTTCAATCACAGATGTTTGAGTTCTGTCCTTCGTGTTAAGTAGTATTTGGTGAGTAATGTTGTGTTTAGGCAAGGATGGTAATTTGATCGACAAGGTTATGAAGGCAAATCGATGAAGGTGGTTAGGAGACGTGTTATGCATACTGAGTCACCGCCTTCCTCGACAAACACTGTTAGCTGATATTGGATTAGGTTGGAAAAGAGTTATGATTGGATGGTGAAACGGAAACCTAGCACCAGACCATAAAGACTGGGACATTTGGTTTGAGCCAGCCACGTAGGGAGGTGTAGACTGTCTGATTGGAGTCCTCAAAATCCTAAGATCTAATGACTTGAGACTGTTAGTAAAATCACTCGACGTCACAGACTCATTCACTCTTTGTGATCTCGCATATCCATTGAACCCTAATGCTTTTCCATGTCACTATTCTGTTTCCTGTATATTCCTCTCTCTTATAGTTCTCCTGAATTTCTTTTCTCTACTTTAGTTTGGTATGTTTGGACTCAGTGAGTCACTGTTAGGGTTGATATTACTATCCAATTGCTGAGAAGTATGTAGAGTTGGAATTGAAACTGAAATCTGCTGGCTGCAAGTCGAGTGTTTTAACAAATTACCTACATCTTCATGGGTTTACAGGTATACAGCGTGGCTTTCTTTGCCTTTGTCTGTCTGTCTGTCTGTCTAGATTCAACATAGAACTTGGCACCGAAGTGCACCAGTTCGAGTTGCCACGTTCAAAATAGCACACAAAGGTAGACAAGAAGATGAGTGAAGAGAATCAATAGAGTTTGACAAGTATAAGAGTGAAACAGAGTGGGTAGTGGTAGAAAGGAATATGAAAGGTTACAGAGACTGAATGCATCTGCGCCATTGACAACGATGAGTTTGAGCCATGTCACCTATTGTCTCCAGCCATTGATTCTTAGAGTCAGTCCCGAGGGCCCCAACCCGGAAGTCTGCATCTCCCTACCTGACTCAGTTTAACTGTCAAGGATTTCATGGATTGATGCCATGTTTTTGTTTGGCCACCACTGTCTCTTTTCCAACCTGCACCTATATCAGCTAGTAATGCCCGTCGTCGGGGGAGGCGACGGTTAGGCATGCGCAGCACGTGACCTAGCCATCTCAGTCTATGTAACTTTATAGCCTCGTCGATTGATTTTCCCTCTTTGCCCAACACTCTACGCCTAACGTCAACATTACTTACCTTATTAAACCACCTAACGTGAGACAGAGATCGTAGATATCTATGATCAAAAACAGCCAACCTTTTCATGTCTTCAACTTGTATTGGCCATGTTTCAGAGTCATAGAGAAGGACGGAGCGAACTGCTGAGCAGTATCTCCATGTCACGCCTACGCGAGAGATGGTGTAAGTTAGCGAAAGCAGCTCGATGTTTTTTTGGATCCGTGCTGAGATTTTGTCGCCAGTCAGTTCGGATAAGGCAGTCGAAATCCAATGGTTTTTAATCACCTTTGGATTTACCTCATTCACAGCTTTTACAGCTGTATCTATGGCTGACTGGATATTCTTCCAGGCTTCTTCAGGGTGAGCACAGCTGTCGAACTCAGATATGTGTTGAGCTAGTTCTTCCTCAAATAGGGATTTAGTTTCCTGATCGAGCTGGGGACGTGATGGGTTTACCGCCAGCTGTTTCCTACATCCGTTCAGTCGTAAGGACATACGAGCGCGGACCAGTGTGTGATCAGTATCTACACACGTGTTCCAGAAGGAGCGACAATCTCCTACCGACCCACGTCAACGACAGCTTATCGCTATGTGGTCTATTTGTGTCCAGCGTTGGTTTGATGATGGGGTCGCCAGGTCAAACAGTGTCTCTCCTTGTGTTTGAAGTTAGTGCTTACAAGAAACAAATGGTTATCTGAACAGAACTGTAGGAGACGGTCACCGTTGTCGGTTCGCAGGCACGGGACTCCATAGGTGCCACCGATAACCTTCTCAGATTGACACAATTTCCCTACTTGAGCGTTAAAGTCACCAGCTAGAACGACTATATCTCAGCGTTTAGCCTTTCGCAGCAAACTAGACAGCTTTTGGTAGAACTCATCCTTCGTTTCATCTGAACTGCAGTCAGTGGGGGCGTAGGCGGAGATTACGAAAAGGCGTCGGCTAGTAGTGCAGTCCTTTCTCCTTTTTACTGATCCGTTCAGACGGACAGCACACATTCGGCTATCTACTGGGATCCAGTCAAGTAATGTCTTTTCTGCCCTAGTACTCAAAGCTATCCCTACGCCAGCTAATCCTCGTGAACTAGCTGTGGCATCTCCTGACACCCTCAAGGTGAATTTTGAAGATTCATCCTGTTGGCCAGGTGGGGTTAGGTGAATAACCGCACTTGGGTCTTGTATGTGTGTTTCTGAAACACAACATACATCAATGGCTCGGGATGCCAGGGTCTTGGCTAGTGATGCTTGTTGTCCTATTTGGCAAAGTGTCCTAACATTAAATGCTCCTATATGAAATTGGTGGCATGGCTTTAGGAGACTGTCAGTGGTGGTTGTTTGGCTTCCGTCGTTTTTAGTGGACGCAGAGTGAAGAGGAAGTGAGGGGCCATCAAGTAAAGGAGTTGCATCAGTGGGAGGAAGGCAAGGTAATAGAGATTAAGATGAAGACAAAGATAAGTGAGGATTAGAGGGGCTTCATGTGCATTTCGGATTGTGAGTGCGATTATTACCTCCCGGCTGCCCACACCGTGGAAGTTGGTTGCGTGACCGCAGAGCCCAGGGGACAACTACTTGAGGCCGGTCACATGCGGCCTGTTTTTGTTTGTTCTTTATTGTTTGGTGTGTCTCAGTAGCATATTTATCACTTCTGCCATGTGAAACGGCAGCAGGAAGCGCGGTCGTTGTTAATCCGGGTCCCGACCGATCCGGCATGATATTTTGTGAATTTGTTTGAATCATAGTATTGGTTTGGGTAGCTGCTTTTTGTCTAACCGCTATCCAAACAACCTTTTTATCATGGTAGGACCTCAAGAGACATAAGTCTCAGCCAGTATAGCTTGATTAGGTCATTGCGGTGTTCAAGCCCGGCCACCACGTCAAGGTAACATCTTTTGGTCGGGTTCTTTGCCTTTGCTGAAAGGGGACTATAATTATTTCTGAATACACGTTGTTGCTGCTTTACTTTACTGTTCGTGAGTACTATATGATGTTTTGCTAGGTAAGCAGAGGGGGAAAAGGGAAGGAGGGAGCTGCAGAGTATTTGATTGATATAATAAGATCCTTGAAAACATGATATGTGAAGGTTCTTTGATAATCAATCTATCTCAATACTGACTCTGTCACGTGCCATTTAGTTAGATAACACTGGAAACGAGGGATCACTGGTTCGATACCTGTTGAGAGGGGTCATGGATGCCGAACTAGGACGAAACCCAATAATCGTCTAAATTATATTGATTTGTGATAAGATCTACACTGAAGCCAATCCAAATCCCCACAAAAATGCACAATCTAAGTTTTTTTTTAAACCAACACCATTACTTATTATTATTCCCTTTAATTCCTCCAGGAACATAGGGCTTCAGCCGCGCGTCTCCATTGCCTTAGGTTTTCTGCCAACGTTTTCACCCTGCTCCAAGTCTGCCCACATGCTTTCATCTCCTCTTCACATGACCTCCTCCAAATCACCCTTGCACTGACGATCAACTCGCCGCTTCCCTTTCGGGTTCCACTTGAGCAATGGCTTGTCTAGTGATGTCACTTGATGGTTTCCTCAGCGTATAACCAGCCAATCCATCTCCATTTCTTCCTGCCTATTTGTTTCACAATCGGTTCGTGCTGGGTTGGTTCTCTCCCAGATATCCTTGTTGCTGATATTTTCTGGTCGGCCATCTGATCTTGATTAGTATTTAGCGAAGACAATTGTGGACGAAAGTCTGTAGTTTGTTGGAGGTGCTCTTTATTACGCGCCAAGTCTTTAATCTGCATAGTAGCATTGAGTTCACATTGGAGTTGAAAATCCGGATCTTATTTTTGATGCTGAGTGTTGTTGACCTCCACACAGACTTGAGAGTAATGAAAGCCTGTATTGCTTTTCCGATTCTTGCTTTGATATCTTCGTCAGTTCCGTTCGCCTGTAGTTGAAACGATGCTTCCCAGGTAGGTGAGTGAAGGAGGTTGTTTCTTTCAGGTTCCTCCCACTTATGCTGGCTGATTGTTGTCTGTTGTTGTTGCTGTTGTCCAGGAATCTTCATCACCTCTGTTTTCTCTATGTTCACCTGAAGTCCTATCTTTGATGCTTCTTCTGCCAACACCATTACTTAAAGAGCTGCAGCTACACTTTGGACCTCCTGAAGGGGATTAGTGAACATATAGGAATCCAGGATTTTAATATCTTATTTTGGACATTTATTTACATTCAACCATTTAGTTTGTAATTTGGTATGCCATCGAGAAGAGATATAAAACTCCTAACAATTTTTTAAAACGTAATATTCATCGTTTTCGAGTAATCATTCCTTTGGTTAGAATTCATATGAAATGATATATATATATATTTGTTTAGAGGATGTGTCGTCATTGATTGTGAACAGACTGACGTTTTTTTGCATTCTCCTCTTATTGTGTCCCGTTACTGCAATTCTCTTTGCATTCAAAAATCTTCTGTTGTTAATATATATATATATATATATATATACAAATTCCTCTCTGCACACACCTCTGCGTCATCGTTCATCTTTAAAAGGCAACAACAGTTTCAATAATTGATCATGATGATATTTAACTTGAGTGACAGTTAAAAGCGAGAAACTAATTTTTCTGTATCATCTGTCACTTTCCCATATTTTCTTACCCTCCTTTTTCTACGGACGCAATTCATTGCTCTGTTCCTCTACTTTGAGTAGTTTAGTCCTATGGAGATGCTCCTTTTTTCATCTCCTTTGTTTATTATAACCGCTTTAAAGTGTCTTTGATAACTGGAGATCGTTTCACAATCCCTATATGTTGTTCGTAGCCTTTGGCAGGTAAGTCCTAATTCTCTCACAAAAATAAAAGGGTAAATGTGAATATCAGAGCTTTACAACTGTAGTGATGGAAATACAGGTGTACCTAAGGGAGTTGGAAAACCCTGATTCCAAAACTATAATGTACACGCCCCCAAAATCAGAAAGAGTGGAATGGCGTATGGACTTGTTTTGGTCACCGGAAACTGTGGGAATGTAGCTCCCGACGCCACTCTCTGTTTTATGCTTTGAACCTCATGTCAAAGGTTTGAGGAGGTGACTACCTTTCGGTCTTGGAGTCCGGTCAATGTCCCAGTCCTCACACAAGCTATCAGAAAACAATTTCACTTGTGTGATGCAACTGGTTGTGTCCATAATTTATTAAGATTCTTCTAATTTTTTAGTTTTATTGTACAAAAGGTATACAGGAACAGTTCGGTTATCTACCCGCCTGCTCATTTTATTATTCCTTTAGGTTCCGAGTAAAACGTAGGACCTCAGTGTTAGATCTCTGTTTTACCATTCTTTAAAAGTTTTTTTTAACAGGCTCTACGGTTACCCAAAAACTCTCATTTCCTAGACTTCACACGATCTCCTCAATGTCACCCGTGGGATCCACGCCGAGCTCCTTTATTCCCTTTCGGAGCCCTCTTGACGGTGTACCTGGTGTGTGATATCACTGAACCGTCTCCCTACTCACTCTGTATCCAGTGCATCTTCATTTTCTTCTGCATATTTTCTTGTGGTTCGCTGCCGGTTAGAGTCCCTTGTTGCTGATCATTTTTCTCTGTGTTTTTTCTTTGAAAGTAAACATGTGATAATGTTTATATCTTTTTTGAAAAGCTTATAACAATGAATATAAAAACAATTAGACATGAAAATCTTAATGGTGTATCGGTGGCACAGCTGTAAGGACGCTCGCCAACCACGCACATGGTCCGGGGTTCGACCCCCGGCTGGTGCATACTCGATATCAATGGTCGGCTTGCTAAATTTGGGCTACCGATATCACATGCTGAAAACTCCATACTCGTACCGAGATACTGTGTGGAATCAAGCTATGATAAAATAACCCCCCCCCCACCCATTTCTTACTCTTCTCACTCTCGAACTACTTTAAATGGGGAATTCAGTAGTATAAAATTCTTCACTAAATTTATGTCGCGTTTTCATTTCATTACTCTCATGTGTTATTTACAGAAATAGTCAAGCTGTAAATTTTGATTCACGTGAAATGCATATGGCTGTACAACAAGAGTTACGACTTCGTAGTCGTACTATACATACTGCTGCATCAGCTTCAGGTGGATCAATCTCTGGACGTGCATCATCAATAAGCTCAGCAGATGGTTCTACAGAGGCGACAGTTGGTTCTAGCAGTCAAACCTCCCTACCAAATGGTATGAAATGTAATCACGCTAGTCACCATCATCATCACCACGCCCATCATTATCATCATCACCACTCTCATCATCATGGCCATCATTATCATGAAACAGCGAAACGGCATTGTTCACATCATTGCTGTCACAGTTATGATTAATTAATGCCCTATTATGAATAATTTATTTTGTGTATATCCTTTTTTGTTTATTCTCAAATGATTATCATGAGCATTGCCCATAACTAATATCATATGAAATACTGTTTTTCACTTTATGTGGTCAGTATATATCTACATATTTGTATAATGTACAGTTACTGTTGTTCATCATTTTGGTCATCACAGTTTTATCGTTTTTCTCTCTGATATTATTATTGAAATTTTCGTTTTGTTTTGCGTTTATTCATCTAATTATTTTGAGGGAGAAATAAACAAACAAAAATGCCAGTCATAATCTATCCGTACACACAACATAATAAACACACTTATCAAAAGTTATCTGTAAGAAGCGTGCATATGTGACATATATATGCGCATAAATATACATATTCAAGTGATCTTCTGGTTCCCTTTATTCATTCTCATATGTTTTGCTAATAAGAATAGTGATGTGGTGCGTTGTAGAAACGTTGTATGACATGTGGAGTATGGCGTCTGTAAGAGTATATGTGTTTACTGTTTTGTTCACTGTTGCCTCTTATTCACACAGTGCATAAAAAACGTAAGAACGAAACTTGTCTTTCTCATTTATTCATTCAGTTGTTTATCGAATCGAATTCTACTTCGTCTGGCTGCTAAAAATTGATAGACATTTATGTATTTATCTGTGTGTTCATCAACAATTTGACTACTATTTTTGTTTCCTCTATTCGTTGTTGTTATCTCTGAGTATCATTTTTCCTTTCTGCAGCAGTAAATCAAAGCCACAAAGAAACACTATTAACAATGTACTACTATCATTTCAATTCTACTCTTATATTTATCCCGTTTTTGGTTCTGTGTTCGTTTATCCCTTTAATTTTTTCATTACTTAATGCACTGAAATTATATGTATTGTCGTAGTGTTGTGTAAGTCTCTATGATATATTTATTTCTTCCATGTTATTTTGTTAACTTTTCTTCTCTCATTCAAGTGTGGATAACACGTGGATGGATGTGCGCGTATCTGTGCATGAGTGCTTGTCATATCCGCGGGCATATGGGTGATTTGCACGCGTATCAACCTTTTGCAGTGACTCTTCCTTTTCGTTATCAACTTTATTATCACTGTGAGTGGTGTTCCCATTTTGTCGTGAGTCAGTTAGGAGGTCTCTTCATTCTCTTTTATCAGAGACAGATGAAAGGGAATGAACAGGAGAAATGTTTCTTTGTCTTTTTCCTAAATTGTAACTGCCATTTCTTTTCCCATCTCTTTTTCTGTTTCAACTTTTTATAGTGTTGTACTACATGATGTTTTGTGTTTTTCTATTGACTTCCATACATCTTTGTTGTTTTTAATTTATGTGGCGTGTTTATGTATGTATATGTAGTCGATGCTATCCCTCATATTCACTTGACCGACAATATCTTCATTTATTATTTATTATAACTGTTGTTCTCTGTTTTTAGCTGTTGTTGACACTTTAGAGAAAGAGGAACAGTTTTTACTTTGTCGTATATTTATATGGGGGTGTGTAGACATTGCACAAGCGTGTTTACCTCTCCTAAATACACAGGCCCGCACACACACATGCATACATACACACTCTCTTTCTGGAGCAAAATCAAGTGAACTAACAGTTTTAGGTGGAAAATAAACACAATCATGTGACAATATTTTATAGTCAAAGTGATATACACATTTATTTGTTTATTTTTTTAAGTGAGAAGAGAGGAGAGAAAAGGAGGAGGAGATATAAAGTTATACAAGCAACAGGAAGAGGAAGAAAACAATGCAATACATCTTTAGACGAAATAAGACTACTATCCTGCCTTATCTGTCTATTTATTCTATGATATTCATTTGACATGTCACTATTATTATTATTAACTTCATATCATACGAATGTTATAGTTTGTTGGTTTGACGATTTGTTTGTTCAGTTTTCTTTGTATTATAATATTATAGAATAAAGAAAAAACAGAAAACTATTCCGTCTCTTTCAATAAAATTAAAACGTCGAAGTAATAATAAATATGCTTTTGTAAAGATGTTCATGTTAGGGGTTAACAGTGTGGGAGATCCTGTCCACCCAGAACTTGTCAGTTGCACACATACATCAATCTTGGAATCAATCAAAACATCCTACAAGCTAACGCACAGGCAAAGTAGTCCCAATACTCACTAGTGACTGACTACAGGATGAAGTTATTTTGGTGAGAAGTCCTGACCAGTAGGTTAGATGTGAAGATGACACATACTTGTTGATGACATTGGCTAGCTGAGTCTATACAACCCGAATAAAAGAAATTAGCATTGATGGGCCATTAGATTCCGTCCCAGTGGGGTGATGTGTGCATACTGATGAAGGGTCTCAAACTAAGACGAGACCACCCTCCGGTAACCCCTATTGGTTTTCAGTGGTTCGCGATCACTCTTGAGGTGTATAGATGTTTGAGATAGGGGTTAACAGTGTTAAATTCACATGGATTTCTCAGTATTAGTAGGGAAATCGGAATAAATGACTACAGAGAAACGAGAGGTTTGAAAGACGGGTGGTACATAAACCCCACAGAATTACTCTATGAAGAATGCTTTGGACTACAGAATTTCCCCACAGGACATACAGTGGAAATTAGTCAGGCTTTCAAAATAATCAATATGCAAAGAAAAGGATGGTTACTTCGATTCGCAGAAGCCGTTGCCCTCAAAAGACTTCGACCCAACCTATGCATACACAAAGAGAGTGTAACCAATCTCTCACTACCATTGTAATTGCAACTGTTTAGTTCATATGCTTTTGTTCTGTTGCGTAACATTCCACTCAATCTTGCTTTTGATTTTCACTCACTATTAAGGTTTCAAATCTACTAAATTAAATTATTTTACCTACTTTATCACTTTACTTCACCGTTTACCCTACCCTCCTGACTTCTCCGCCATAATTTGTTGTTCTATCTTCCATTTTGTCTATAGTCCATCCTTGTTTCCAAGAGAAATCAGAACTCCACCCCTTTGTCCAATTACTACGTAAATAGTTACTCTTAAAACTAAATAATTGTCTACTTACGTCATCTTTGAAATTATGTCACCTATACTTTCTGTCTAACTTGAAATCATTGTAAAAAGTACGTTCAGAAATTTTGCAACATATAATTGACTTATTTAGGATGTACGCAGTTGAACGAATTCATATTATCCTGCAAATATATTCATTCTTTCTTTATTTAAACTACACGATTTCACTGGGTGAAATAACTTCGTTTGTCGAACACTATGGTCATGGTATTCATGAAATAGCAGAACTAGGTGAATTTCCTGAACAGGAACGTAGACACCTCAACGGACACATTTATGCTACTACTACATAATAATAACATGTGGTAGGAAAGGAACTTTACCTTGTCAAATCTTCAGATAAAAGGTGAATGAAGTCTATCCCAGAACTTCGGGAGACTAATGCTCCTCCTATTCACCCGAAGTAAAGTATTGAGTCGTGTCATGCTAGAAAGACATCATTGAGCACAACCTGGAATGGCAGCCAGCTCCGTACCTCACCTTTGAGAAGCTTTCAACACAGTCAACGGTCAAATAATCTAGCAACTGCTTCAGCACTACTGAATACCCTCGAATGTAACCCGCATGGGGAGCAACCAAATGGGTGTAATCCCGAGTGTGACATAAAGGAGATCATGTAGCAAGGAAATGAAACTTTGTGGGCAGTCATGGGTCTGAATAAAAATGATGGCAGAGAAGTGAATAGAATGGAAATATGCCGCTGTAGCCCTATGTCCCACTCGGAACGCAAGGAATGAATAGTAATCGCAAAATACTACCTTCCACAATATGGAATGTCAGCTGAACTATGATTAGCTTAGAAAAGAGAATCTGATCCCAATGCATGAAGTCAATGTGTGTAGTTGGTCTGAGATTAGGTCATCGTCGAGACGCTAAAACCAGTGGTTAGAAGTTCTCTGTAGCATGTTCAGAAACCATTCACAATGAAGCAGGAGCTACAGCAACTTGTTATTCTAGATATTCCCACTAGTCTTCATTGAAATATTCCCTCCATTCCATTCATGTTTGTCTGTAGCAGTGTGATAGGATCCCACGCACTTTGTTATTGATCAATTATTCCAACGGCTGTTAATCTCGCATAAACGGTATATCATCATTTCCCACGCACTTTGTTATTGATTATTACGATCAATTATTTCAAATGCTGTTAGCTGTCTGTATTGTTGTAAAAATGTATAAATACCATGTGTTGTTTTCCTAAATAAGTTCTTTGTCGTAGTTGTTGTACTACAATATACAGTCACAGGCCAGCCTTTGTCTTTTGATATTTGCGTGGTTCACTGAATCGGAAGGTACCACGAGCAGATAGGCATATTAGTCAGGCGCAGACAGAACAAGGCGACAACGTCCTCATCTAATTCCTTACAGTTATAACACAGTGTCACTAACATTTCTGATACCTTTTGTACTTTCCCGAAGTGATGCGATTCCGTGCAAATGCATAAGTCGATCGATCAGTATGGTCAATTAACACACTAGTGCACCTACTTCATCTCATTTGTTGTAGAAAAACACATCCATACAAGTCACACACGCATATATGTATAATTGTATCTATTCATTGACCTAAGCGTTTCATTATTTATTTATTCAGATACAAACTTCGTGCCAAGGGATGCGTTACGCAAAGGCAACGAAACACATAAATGGAGAAGAGGCAGAATAATTGGGGAAAGAGATGAAGCCTGATAGCAGCACTAATCAAGAGCAATTAAGGTGGTTTCATCGCTTCAAGTTACTTCCTGAAAGAGAAGTTGCAGTATGTTAGCCATTGATTACTGTTCTCTATCATATCTGGTAGCCACTGATCTGGATCGTCTAGCAGATCCCACTCAGGGAGTCGTGATACGCCAGCTATCCTTCATCCTATAGCGCCACATCCTCCATCTACACCCAGTGCTAGCAAGCAGTGGACAGTATAAGAGCCGCTGGGATGACATTTCTAGTACAACCCTAAGCTGACAAAGCCAGTGTTCCAAGATGACAACACTCACTGAAAGACGAAATTCACCATGTCGAAACACAACACCGGACTTCAGAATTAATTAAATGATGATATCATCAGATGCAATTCGTTATACGGAAACACGTGTGTGCTGTCCGTCTGAACGGATCAGTAAAAAGGAGAAAGGACTGCACTACTCGCCGATGCCTTTTCGTAATCTCCGCCTACGCCCCCACTGACTGCAGTTCAGATGAAACGAAGGATGAGTTCTACCAAAAGCTGTCTAGTTTGGTGCGAAAGGCTAAACGCTCAGATATAGTCGTTCTAGCTGGTGACTTTAACGCTCAAGTAGGGAAATTGTGTCAATCTGAGAAGGATGTCGGTGGCACCTATGGAGTTCCGTGCCAGCGAACCGACAACGGTGACCGTCTCCTACAGTTCTGTTCAGATAATCATTTGTTTCTTGTAAGCACTAACTTTAAACACAAGGAGAGACACTGTTTAACCTGGCGACCCCCATCATCAAACCAACGCTGGACACAAATAGACCACATAGCAATAAGCTATCGTTGGCGTGGGTCGGTAGGAGATTGTCGCTCCTTCTGGAACACGTGTGTAGATACCGATCACACACTGGTCCGCGCTCGTGTGTGCTTACGACTGAACGGACGTAGGAAACAGCTGGCGGTAAAACCATCACGTCCCCAGCTCGATCAGGAAACTAAATCCCTATTTGAGGAAGAACTAGCTAAACACATATCTGAGTTCGACAGCTGTGCTCACCCTGGAGAAGCCTGGAAGAATATTCAGTCAGCCATAGATACAGCTGTAAAAGCTGTGAATAAGGTAAATCCAAAGGTGAGTAAAAACCACTGGATTTCGACTGCCTCATCCGAACTGATAGATGCTAGAAGACTTATTCCGGCGAGCTCCGAATTCAATGAGGAGCGAAAGCTGCACAAAAGGAAACTTATTAAAAGTCTCCGCAAGGACCGTGAACAGTGGTGGGTGACAAAGGCGAAAAAGATGGAAAAAGCATCGGCGATAGGCAACACTAGGCAACTCTTTAGACTCATCAGGGAAACAGGTGGGAGAAGGCAAATCATAAGTGAGACTATTTCTGAGAAAAATGGCTCCTTAATTAGCTCTCAGGATAGACGCCTTGAACGCTGGAAAGAACACTTTGAGGACAATTTAACTTGCCTACAGCCACACTGAACCTCCCCGCCATCCAGTACACACCCGAATGGGATATAGACACTGGTCCGCCGTCTGTAAGTGAGGTCACAAAAGCTATCAGTAATTTGAAACGAGGCAAAGCGGCAGGACCCGACGGAATTATTCCGGAGGTGTTTAAATATGGGGGTGACATACTAGTTTGTAGATTAACTGAGGTACTAGGCAAAGTCTGGGAATCAGAGACAGTTCCATCAGACTGGGGTAAGTCACTTATTATACCGATATTCAAGAAGGGAAACAAGTCCTCGTGTGATAATCATAGGGGGATCAGCCTAACGAACATAGTCTCTAAAATCCTAGGCTCAGTAATCATGCATAGACTAAGCAGAACTCGGGAGGAACAGACAAAGGAAAATCAAGCAGGCTTTAGACCAGGTAGAGGGTGCATAGATCATATCTTCACTCTTCGACAGATTCTAGAACATAGACACACTTTTCGGCGTCCAACAATTGTCATATTTCTTGACTTGAAGGCGGCCTTCGACTCCGTGGATCGAAAGGTACTATGGCAATGTCTGACTGTGAAGGGAGTGCCAAGAAAGTACATTGCACTAATCAAGGCACTCTATTCAAACTCACGTAGTCGTGTAAGGGCTTATGGGGAATTGTCATCTGAATTGGTAACAACCAGTGGTGTCCGACAGGGATGTCCACTTTCCCCATTTCTGTTTAACTTCATCATAGATATGCTGATGGAAGTATCCTTAACTGAACGTAACGACTTAGGAATCGACTTGTTACCAGGGAATAGTCTTATGGACTTAGAATATGCAGATGACATAGTCCTGTTAGGGGAGGATGCTGACAAAATGCAGAGTCTTCTGAACACCTTGAGCAGCAATCTTCGTATGTTTGGCATGCGATTCGCCCCTGTAAAATGTAAGATGCTGCTACAGGACTGGACTACGTCAACTCCTAACTTAGTGATAGGGAGTGAAGTGATAGAACATGTTGACCACTTCACCTATTAGGGAAGTTGTATTAGCACCAACGGACTGATTGGCGACGAAATCTCAGCACGGATCCGAAAAGCTCGAGCTGCTTTCGCTGACTTACACCATCTCTGGCGTAGGCGTGACATCCGGTTATCAACCAAGGGACGTGTGTACTGCTCAGCAGTTCGCTCCGTCCTTCTCTATGGCTCTGAAACATGGCCAATACAAGTTGAAGACATGAAAAGGTTGACTGCTTTCGATCATAGATGTCTGCGATCTCTGTCTCACGTTAGGTGGTTTAATAAGGTAAGTAATGTTGACGTTAGGCGTAGAGTGTTGGGCAAAGAGGGAAAATCAATCGACGAGGCTATAAAGTTACATAGATTGAGATGGCTAGGTCACGAGCTGAGCATGCCTAACCATCGCCTCCCCCGACGGGCAATACTAGCTGATATAGGTGCAGGTTGGAAAAGAGCCAGTGGTGGCCAAACAAAAACATGGCATCAATCCATGAAATCCTTGACAGTTAAACTGAGTCAGGTAGGGTAGGAGATGCAGACTTCCGGGTTGGGGCCCTCGGGACTGACTCTAAGAATCAATGGCTGGAGACAATAGGTGAAATGGCTCAAAATCGTTGTCAATGGCGCAGATGTATTCAGTCTCTGTAATCTTTCATATTCCTTTCTACCACCACCCACTCTGTTTCACTCTTATACTTGTCAAACTCTATTGATTCTCTTCACTCATCTTCTTGTCTACCTTTGTGTGCTATTTTGAACGTGGCAACTCGAACTGGTGCACTTCGGTGCCAAGTTCTATGTTGAATCCAGACAGACAGATACGGAAACATCAATGATCGAATACACGAAGTAGCTACACATTCCCAGCTCAACAGAGGCCAGGTTTCACAAGTGTGGACTAGCAAGACTACGAGTACCAAACAGTTGTTAACCTAATCTTTGGAGGAAAGACTAACGTCGCGACAGCTCCCATGATGACCTATGCTGACAGTCATCGGTGGCAACGTTGAAAACAAGGAGTGATAATGAGCAACCCTGTTAATCTCACCGTTGGCAAAAACAGAGGTGATACCTGGTTATATACCTTCATTCAACCTGTCGTTAACAAACCTCTCCCTAATAGACGATTCTAAAGAATACTTTTCCAGTGGCAAAGTTAAACTGTAAGCACCACTAGCTACCAATCAGCGAATTACCTCAAACCCACCAATCACGTGGAGGCATTTTTGTGCATGGAATACATATATTTATGGAAAAATGCATAAAAACTGTAGAAAAATGTTGAAGAAGATACCCTCCTCTCACATGTGGTAAAAATAGCCCTCAGTTGTAGGTTGGAGTGTCAAAAGAGTATAATTCCATTGTGGGTGAAATTTATTTTGATAAAGCCTCACAGTAATATTTCCTGAGCAACAAATTGTGCTCAAAACGTCATCATTAAATATTACTGCATAACACTGAGAGAATTTATCAAAATAAATTTTACCCACAATGGAATTACACTCTACAACAGTTCACGAGTTCTATTCTTATATCAACAGAATAATTTAACCACATTCTAGGCATGTAATTATTTAGGTCTTCTAAACCTAACAGTAACCCTAATCTTTCCTGAACCTAACCTCAACGTGAAAATATCTCTAGATAAACTGTAATCTAATTCGAACCAACCCTAATGTCGCCTTTAATAGGTTAACCTGACCCTGATTAGTCCTTGGCTTAAAGAGTAACTTAATCTTTCCCAAACCTAAGCTGAAACTTGCCAGATATCCCTTTTAATAGCACAACACTTTGGTGAGCATATTTTATTAATGATGACATTATTTGCCAGGTTTCACTGACTTCCCTCATTGAGCGTATCGAGGTCATTGGTGCAGTCGCACTCCACTGACAGTCAGTGGTGCTTAAAGTTGAACTTCACCTGTCCAATGAAACAAAACCATCCTTAAGACATACGAATGTTAGCCCTGTAATACGTATGACAGCATTCTAACGACTGATCAAGAGCGAACATTTGACCAGTGAATACGCGAGCCAAACGCAGCCCGGACTGTTCTTCGTCAATCAGTCTCTCACTCGCATTGCACAGCAGCCACTGTTTTACAAAAAACTAGCGACAGACTAACATGACTTCCATATGCATCACACATAGATTCTTATAAAGATGGGCACAATAGTAGCTTCGCTCTACACAACGGTGGGACATTCTTATTTCTACATAATTTCCTGAACAATCCAGTCAGTTGTCCGACTGGAGTCTCAGCACCATCTTCTGGTTGGGGTCCTCGGGACGGTAAAAACCAATGGTTGGAAACACTTGGTGACATGGCTCAAAATCGTTCTCAGTGGCGCAGATGCATCCACTCCTTGTGACTTATGATTTCCAATGAAACTGTTTTGTTCTTCGTTATTACTTTTCCTTTGTCTCACACCTCTGCTTACTGTTTCTATTATGCTTTTCTTCTTTTTTCTCTTGCTTTGTGTGCTACATGGAGTGTGGCGACTTGAACTGCCACACATGTGTGCAAAGTTCTATGTTGAAAACAGACAGACAGAGACATAGTCATTCGGTGGCCTAGCGGTAGAATGCTCCCCGACCAAGCATGTGGTCCGGGGTTTAATCCCAGGCCAACGCACTCCTTTACCTGACTAAGGCAGGAACAAGATTGGTAAATAGAGAAGGTTGGACATGACCCAAGCAACCCCATCCCGTAAAAATAAACACCAGTGCTACCGAAACTTCAAGCCTCGAGCTTGAAGCCCTCTGTTCCATTGGGAACGTTAAAGAATACAAAAGTTATTCAAATTTTTTCCCTCTCTTTCTCATTGCATCTAAAAATTGAAAAGATGTTGTAACCAGTTTCATTAATCTACAAAGCCCAAACCAAGGGTACTGTGTTCTCTGTAAGAGCTTTTAATGTTAGAAAATTAATTTATCAGTCGGATTTGTTGAGAATCACTACAAGAGGTAAAATATGACTCTGTTCAAACAGTAACTCATTTCCCTGTTGGTTAGTAAATTTGTCGGATACAATAAATGGAGGTCACGCAGAAAAAAAATAAGCAAACATGTAAGGAGTATTCGAAAGATAGCTCATTACTTTATGTTACTTTCACAAAAGAGGAAAAGGAAGAAGACCGCAGCATGTTCACCACTGATTACGATTGATAACGCCTCAAGCCACTGATTCGAATTATCTCTTGGACTTGACCAAAGGAATCGTGATGTACCTACGGGTGCTTACCTAAAAGATATTTTTCATCCTGCGGCACCAAACCATAGGCTGACCACTTCTCTACTTTCGCCATCTGGTCTTAGGGAGAGAGATATAGAAACTTCTGGGATGTCATTCGTAGCTTATGTCCAAGCCACCGAAGCCAGTGTTTAAAGATGGTCACACCTGAGAATATTTTAGTAACATAGTTCAGAGGTCAACGCAATCTCAGTTAAGATTCAAAGCGATTACACTAAGTTAAAAATGGTACGCGCTCTAATAAAAATTTCTGACTATGAATGCATGTCTTAGGGTCAAAATAACCACGAGTAAACAAACTAATACATATTATACTTCTATTATCACTTGTTTAGGACTACGTACGTCCATTTGCATAGAAAAAAAAATAGTTTGAAATCAACGTAAAACAAAAGTTTTAAAAATATACTAATATATATGCATTTGTAATAAGCTAGTTCAACACCACTGACATCATCTGTGAATATTAATTACTGTTGTTTTTGGAGAGCTATTATGCGGTGGCTGTAACTTTAGATGTTTGTGCTAGTCGTTTTAACTCATTGATACAGTGGGTAAGAGTTTCCTTCTCTTGAGTAGGCGTTATTCCTTTGACCACATGGTCTACAACCCAGTTCACCATATGATGTTGAATATAACGCTTTCGTGTATTTTCACGTTCAACATGATAATCCTACATACAAGTAATACACAGAAGAAAACCAAATATTATGACTTCAGATTAATGTAAAAAGTGTGTACATATTTATAAGCAGTCAATACAGTCTGCAATAATTTGTAAAACAAAAGCAACTAGACACTACATTCAATTATCCAGAAGGGGATTTCCACGTACCAGGTCAAAAGCCACACTTGTCATGTGGCGGCTAGTGATACTACTCAGATGCTCAAGCTGAAGAAGGGGTGGTGAAACTCGAATAAGTGACTCGTCAACTGAAAAGAGTACTTAAGCCAAATGGACAGAACTCTACCTAGATAACGCAGACCGAACATTTTCGATGTGGGTCTGTATCATTTCCTGTATCATTTTCCTACGTTTGAATTTACCAATATCCTATGCAGATGGTTGAAAGCAAATTAGTGCCATCTGCTACTGCAACTAAATCTCAAACCGAGCTACGCTCAAGACTTTGCTAGCATACTTGAGATAGAGTATTAACTCATTCAGTATTTCCACACCGACTGCTACTATTATCATATGTAAATAAGGCGAAATCTGAAATGCCACCTGTGAAATTGACTCTTCAACACAACGAAAACCATTAATATGGAGTAAACTTTGAATTCAAAACTTACCAAGCGACGGTGGACTGTTCGAAATACGTTCTGAAGGCGTTCACGGTAGGCGGCTTCCAGTTGCAACGCTATATTTTCTTCTTTTGCCTTTACGTGTTCAGAAACAGCTGCTGCTCTGCTCATTTCCATCTCTGATGTCTTTATTGTATTGTCCAAATAACCCTTTACTTCGTTGATTGGTTTGTAATACAACTCTTGCTCATCTTTCTACGAAAAGTCAAATACAAATTCCAGAAAACCTACTTCAACAAGATCCTCCATGAACTTCTTAGCACGAGGTCCGAATAACTTAACGAAAACTGTAGACATTATTACGAACGTCGAAAACTCCAGAAAGTGAGGATCAAACACCCATATTTCCTTGTTAATCAAAAACATAAAAGATCCAAACATGAACATGTATGGACCTATGAAGTGAGAGGACTAATAAAAAAAGGTTACCTGTTACACCAGTCTTATTGTAAAATGGTTGAAACCAATAATCAGGGAAAACACCCATTCTAATTTTGGGTGAAGTTTCAGCAAACTTGATTGTAGGAAAATTCTTAAAATCGCGTTCCTTGCCATAATATATTTGGTGGGACTTTTCCCACCTGGAGACAGAATTTTCAACATCCTGTTAATAGAAAATGTTATGGAGAGGTTGTACTTGTTCATATTTATTTGCCGCTGACTCTGCCTTGACAAGATGATCAACTGCCGGCTGTATTTGCTTTTCAGCAGTGGGTGGTGCAACACACAAACTCAAACCTGTGTGGAAGTAACCGGTGGAGCCTCCAAGCTTACATGGAAGACGTGAAACTACAACATTCCAACCAGAGTGTATGCGACTTACCAATGTATCGCGCCAACATTTTAGTAGCGTCAACTCCAATGGCCTCCACTACTTCCAATGCTCAATTTATTTTTATGACCATGAAGTGAAAAACATGGTGCGGGAGTTTACTTCCTATCTCTCTCCTTCATAAACTATTTAATTTTTTACATGCCATTATAAGTGATGACACAGCGGGCAAACAATTTGGTTTTGAGTGGCCATTCACGACCTATGTTTAAGTGATTCAGAACCCTTTTGTCCTTCCTATTGACATATTCCATAAAAGTATACTGCCTTTCCTCAGCAGTATTGATACAATAACACGGTAAACTTCAATATGGGGCCCTAAGCACGTTGTTGGCGTCTTGAATTATCCCTGATTTCCTACTCAAAGTAGAGGGTTCCGACGTCCATACTAGAATTTTGTGAGTGACTTATGCCGGAGTCATGTTTTTAGGTTATAAATAGGCTTCAGTGAAACTGAAAGTGCGATCCTTATTCTGTGAAGTAAACACCAGGACATAATTATTATGTTATTTGGAAGACATCGTTGTGGACAGCGGCATATGGCAAGATTTTGTGGAGTAGGTAACAGTATGATTGCACACTTCTTTTTGCTAGATGTTGAAATTAGAGACATTGTACATGACTTGTTTAAAACGATTCATGCTGAAACATAGATAATTTCCGTACAATCTAAAATAGAGTCTACTGTTGGTCGCTTCGTCTATACTGTCTACTTGCTCCATTAATAATGTGTTGTATAACTTGGATTTTTGTAAGAACCACTTATCTTCATCTGAAGACAATTCTACAACCAGTACACAGCTTCCACCAGTAGATACGACTCCACCAGTGAACGCTTCTGTGGATTATATTAATAATTTTTAGCCGCGGGCTTTAACTGTATCCTCAGGCAACCATTTAATTAATATAACTCATTACTGTATTTTTCATAATACATTGTTACACTATCACCTCATTATCTAGGATTTTTATTCGCATGCTTGATATGTTATTGAGTTCATTAGACAATCCCCTACAAATTTAATAACTTCCCCAAACACTGAGATTTCAAGCAGCAAGCTGGTTTTCAGCTTTGCTGACCTGATAAAGTCTTTCAAGCATATTAGTCAGCATCCACTGTAGCCCATTTCGTCTTGACACTGAAAACTGTTTCTTTGTATGGCTTCTTTAATATGGTCATCTCGGGTACTCCTGAAAACAAATTTACTGAATAAAAAGATAAAGTTGCGTACCCCCCATCGAAGACCTACGCTCAGTGGAAAAAATCTGTGCTCTAATTAGGGAATAATTTTCGCATGTCATTTCGTCTTCCAGACCTTGGGAAAAAGCTTCCATACTCTCTATTATAACAGTAATAATGTGTATTCTCATACAAACATATAAATTTACATGAAAATGCATGCCATTTTTACATACACAATCAAGTATCATATAGTCTCAAATCGTAGATTCTCTACGAGTCAATAATGTTTCAACAGCTAAATATTTGATATATATATATATAAATACACTCATTGTCTGAACTAGGCCGTATAATTATTGAATTGTACAGTTGTCCTCCAGGTTGAGCGGGAAAATCGACTTCGTTTCGTTTTCATCCCATAGTTGTGGGCTGACGATAACCAACCAATATTGAGGTAAGTACAACTTTTACAAGGGATTGAAAGCTGTTTTAGAAGAGTAAAAGTGCTAAGGTGAATCATTAAAGTGTAATGAAATGGGTAAGTGCAAGTATCACTAATAAATGCATTAATAAAGAAAACTCCGTAGGCTGACAACGTTCATTTGCAATGTATAATGCTACGCGTATATCTCGTACTATCATGATGTCCACTTTCGGTTTTAATATACTTCTCCTCATGCCGGTTGTTTTTATTTTATGCCTTTTTGTGCATTTGGTGCACAACCGTACCTTACAGAGAATAGGAATAGAATAAGTCGAATCAAATTCATAAAGAGCTATAAAATGTTAGGTTTAATGGGATATAATGAGGATTAAGTAAAGACGTTATTAGAAAATGAATCCGATAAGACATTGTGAAGTGGTATTTAAAGATCCGACAATGGACAGCAAGTTGATTTATAAGATGCCCCATAAATCTGTGCAGATCCCGCGTGGTCGCATCTCAACAATAGGCTGAGCGAATGATATATATTTAAAGGCAGAAGCATGATCTGGCAAGGCCTTCATTATTATCTTTGTCAAGATAAAGATCTAAGCCCTCATAAAAATCAGAAATATCTCGAGCCTTCAAATTGCATATTGCTGTTCCTGCAGAATGGGGCGATTCACCTTAGTGACCCCCACCATATCTACTGATCAGCTAGCGCCACCCTCCCTCCTTTTTTGATGTTAGGCTCTGAGACTATGATTATTATGGCTACCGCAAATATATTGCTTGGTACCAGACATGTACGTACCCCATATTCCATCTCCCTAGCTTTCTTAATGAGTGCTTCCAATAGGTCTCCACATACATCTTTATGAACATTATATATGTATGCGTGCGTCCTAATGAACAGATTACTTTACAAGAAGTTAAAACCTTAAAGAATAAAAGGAATAGGTTTTGTGAATAGTTAAGCAAGATTCAGCAGAACAATATAGTTAGGGATCAATGTAGGTAGTATGAACTGAAGGTAAGGTCGGTTGGCAGGACTTAGTGTACTAAATTATCATGACAGTCTTGTATATAGTAGACATCTGACATTGCAAAGTAACGTGTCTAAACATATTATAAAAGATATTAACAGAAATACTACATAGCTTTAACATTATGAATTTTAGAAAATTATATGAGAATGGGTAACTGTTGACTGAAGATAATCAATTCAACTCAAAAATAGTGCAGTGTATTATGCTAATAATATAAGTATATTCGTAAAATATTAAAAGATATGGTTGCTAATGTAATGGTTTTCGGATATAATTATACTGACGAACTTATTGGAGATTACAGTGAAGAGGAAACCAGTGAGTTAGTTAAACGGCTACTGTGCAGTTAGTAGTTAAAACGTCTTTTTTAAAAAGTAAAGGGTAGAAGAGTTTTGAGCACTGGAGCAAATAAAGTCATATTCTACTGAGTAGAGTGTAGTGAGTAGCGGTACGATTAGGGATAAGGGTAGGTTGAATGAACTTGGGGAAAATGGTTGGTTGGTTGAGTTTGTTATTGCTAGGTATTCCTGGCCACTTTTCATATGGCATGCTTTAGACATTACAAAGTACCAGTTTGCTTATATTATGGGAGAACTATCACAACTAATTTGGGATTATACATCCAGGAGAGTCTAATGAGTTTATAAACCCGATTGAGGAAATATCGATAGGATCTCTAGTAAGCTGAATAACCGGACCTTAGGTAAAAACATGTGGGAGAGATTAGGTTGGTTTTATCACGTTATAGATGAGGTACGGTTGCCGGGGCAAATGAGTTTCCTCAAATTGGGGGTATTGCACTGGGGTCTGTAGCACTAAAGCTAGTTGAGCGGCCCATATGGATAAAGTATGGATAAGTAGACCGAAGCTCTTTTGTTGATAGGAACTCGTTAAGTAGACGCTGGAATTCAGTAGGAGATCGGCAACTACGTACAGTAAGTGGAAGTTCGTTCCATAATGCACTGTACTGTATTTTAAAGAAACGTGATCGCAGTTTTGTCCGGAACCGGCTTATGGATAGAGTATTTTCATGATTCCTAAGAGTATATATGGGTAAATTATTGAAAGCTATTGGATTACTGCTTTTGATGTCTTCATCTGAAGACAATTCTACAACCAGTACACAGCTTCCACCAGTAGATACGACTCCACCAGTGAACGCTTCTGTGGATTATATTAATAATTTTTAGCCGCGGGCTTTAACTGTATCCTCAGGCAACCATTTAATTAATATAACTCATTACTGTATTTTTCATAATACATTGTTACACTATCACCTCATTATCTAGGATTTTTATTCGCATGCTTGATATGTTATTGAGTTCATTAGACAATCCCCTACAAATTTAATAACTTCCCCAAACACTGAGATTTCAAGCAGCAAGCTGGTTTTCAGCTTTGCTGACCTGATAAAGTCTTTCAAGCATATTAGTCAGCATCCACTGTAGCCCATTTCGTCTTGACACTGAAAACTGTTTCTTTGTATGGCTTCTTTAATATGGTCATCTCGGGTACTCCTGAAAACAAATTTACTGAATAAAAAGATAAAGTTGCGTACCCCCCATCGAAGACCTACGCTCAGTGGAAAAAATCTGTGCTCTAATTAGGGAATAATTTTCGCATGTCATTTCGTCTTCCAGACCTTGGGAAAAAGCTTCCATACTCTCTATTATAACAGTAATAATGTGTATTCTCATACAAACATATAAATTTACATGAAAATGCATGCCATTTTTACATACACAATCAAGTATCATATAGTCTCAAATCGTAGATTCTCTACGAGTCAATAATGTTTCAACAGCTAAATATTTGATATATATATATAAATACACTCATTGTCTGAACTAGGCCGTATAATTATTGAATTGTACAGTTGTCCTCCAGGTTGAGCGGGAAAATCGACTTCGTTTCGTTTTCATCCCATAGTTGTGGGCTGACGATAACCAACCAATATTGAGGTAAGTACAACTTTTACAAGGGATTGAAAGCTGTTTTAGAAGAGTAAAAGTGCTAAGGTGAATCATTAAAGTGTAATGAAATGGGTAAGTGCAAGTATCACTAATAAATGCATTAATAAAGAAAACTCCGTAGGCTGACAACGTTCATTTGCAATGTATAATGCTACGCGTATATCTCGTACTATCATGATGTCCACTTTCGGTTTTAATATACTTCTCCTCATGCCGGTTGTTTTTATTTTATGCCTTTTTGTGCATTTGGTGCACAACCGTACCTTACAGAGAATAGGAATAGAATAAGTCGAATCAAATTCATAAAGAGCTATAAAATGTTAGGTTTAATGGGATATAATGAGGATTAAGTAAAGACGTTATTAGAAAATGAATCCGATAAGACATTGTGAAGTGGTATTTAAAGATCCGACAATGGACAGCAAGTTGA